TGAAGTTTAGCCTAATAACTGAAGAAACCAAATATTTTTCAAACTTACATTTGCCCCCACTTTGTCCGTTTATATATTACCAACGACAGTTTGTTTTTCCCTTTTTTTTTTCATTTTTAATCAAATTTAGTGTATTTTTCTTTCAGGTTTTGGGTTTCATTTATTCTATAGTTTCTGTTTTTAGGATTTGTGTAGGTTTCATGTTTTTTCAGAGTTTTCTAATTTTTTTGATTTACTTTTCATTCAAGATTTAATTTTTAGATCTCAATAGTACAAAAACAATAGCAATAATTCAAATATTGACTTCTGAACCATTTCTCAGGACAAAGCAAACGACTACAACCGAATAAACCATGCACAAAGGGCCAAGCTGCAGTTGCACTAACAAGCGGAAGGATGACAGACTTCATATACAAGGAAATATCGAGACTTGAAGCCGAATACATTTCGAGGCAAATCGAAATAAAAGAACTTACAACCGAGCTTATAGAGAGAGGTGACATAAAGCAGTACTGGGAAAGAAAGATGGAGGAGGAAAAAAATCGTGGCTCGAAAGTTGAAATTAGCTACATTGAAGCTGTAATTGCTTTTGAACAGGAAAAAATGTTTCAAGAGAATGCTTTAGCCGAAATAATGAGGCAGAAGGCAGCTTTGATTTGTCAAGAAAAATTGCTTTCGAGTTTAAAAGCCGAAATTGCGGATATGTCAAAAAAACTTGAACTTGAGAAGGAGGATTATGTTGTTGAGCAGGTTGAAGTACAGAATACGAGGCGTGATTTACAGTTGAAATTGGAAGTTTTGCTCGATGAGAAATCTATACTGGAAGCCGAAATAGAGGCACTAAAGATATTGAGGTGATATGCTTAGATTCTGTAAACATATGCATCCCTGTTGTGAACTTTTTAGATAGACCATTTAAAAAAAAAGTATCTGCAGGTCTTGGGTCGAGGATGAGGCGAAGAAAAGCCAAGCTCGTGCGAAGCTTCTTGAAGAAGCTGGCCGAAGGTGGAAATGGGACAGCTAATCCAAAAGAGTAGTGATTCTATGGATATATGCTTGATTGACTGCTGATTAAGGTTTTTCTGAAGGGCAATCTTAAAAAGACTTTTGAACATTAAGGATCATTGATGAATGAACATCCCAGTGAAAAGCCATGCTGTGGGATATCTGGAAATGGTGAATGTAATGAATCAACCTTTATTTAATTATTTATTTGTTTTTTTTTTTATTTTTTTTATTTCTCCTCGGATTGTGTTCGAATTGTGGATGTAGTATAGTTTCGTGCTCTCAGGTAGCAGCTGATAAACTTTTAAGGAATGCAAGTTATTTTGTAATGCTAAGTGGTGTGTAACTGGATACACATCTGTTTCAATTATATGAATTGTGAATTGGGACCAAAGTTGAGATAAAAGATGAAAAATATTGATTCTCATTGTGATTACAAGACTCCTATCTACAAACTTGGCACCCCCAACCTTCCCCTGAATTTGAGAAGGCAGTCGAATTACACGCCTCTGGTCACCGGCTTCAACTAGCAACTCCGATCCACCTCGAAACTGCAAAAATTCAAATCACAAAATTAGAAGTCTTTTTTACAACAATGTGACTTAAAAAAAAAAAAAAAACTCTAGGATAACATTATGTACTTGGTAGAGCTTGATTTTTGACTTGTCAAAACCCGGCATGAATAGCTTCATGGATTTATCAGACGGGTCGAATTTCACCGAGGATGGGACGCTCGTGTCATTACTTCCCTAAAGTAGGTCTCGAGCATCTTTGCTATTATTAGACTTCATCGTCTCGTTCCAGTGTTTGGTACCAAGTTCAAGATGTGGAACAAGAGCACAAGGTAGAGGTGAAAAGTTGATCTTTATTTTTTCGTGTAATGACACAGGAGGAGAATCTGGTGTAGCTAGACCAAATGCACCGGACACTCGTGCACCAGCTTGAATAGCACAGCCCCAAAACCGCAAGCCGGAATTGAGTGACATGGGATTTTCGGGGTCCATTATGATGTAGCATCCGAATTTATGATGTTAGTTCAACAAACTTGAACTCGAGTTTGACTCGTCTCTTTGAACAGGTGTAGTGATAGATATAAATTTCCATTGTTTGTAAAATAGTTATTTACAAACTGTTAATAGAATATGATATAAAAATAGCTATCTACTATCAGCTAATACAACCAACTAATAACCACACAAAAACAATACATTTTCTTAAAAAAGTAACAAAAAAAAAAAAAAATCTTGTAAAGTTAACAAACTTTTTGTTTTTGTGTGAATGCATATTTATTATTTAACAAACTCTACATTTTCTTAAAAAAGGTAACTAAAAGTCTTGTAAAATTACAAAGACTTTGGCACTTCTCTAGAACAATATTGAAGAGATGAATTCCAAGGGTATAGTATCAAAATCCGAAATTTGTGGCCATTGACTAATACAAGGGATTGTTGGGTCAATGGCTAAGTGTACAAGCATTAATGATTTAGTAAATCAAAGCGTGTAGGGATACAGACAAACAGTGCACTGAGCTCACACACCAGTGATCACTTATCTCACATGGGTTGATGCATTTTCTTAAATAATAAAATAAGCCCAGTAAAAGTTAGTTATTGTTCAGTCACATCATTCAATTGGGCATTGGGAAATTTGTAGCCTGCTAAAATTAGTTAGATAAAACGGCTTGTTATTCTGTTGGCATATTGACATACAGCCCAACTCGGACCTTCTTAGTTCAACATCATCAACATACCTAATATATTTCCAACTGGTTGGGGTCAATTGTACGCAGACCCTACTCTTGTAATTATACAAGGAGGCTGTTTTCTTAGCGACCTAAGGTGCATTCCGTCGTTTAATATATTTTTTTTCTAGAAATTTCACTAATAGAAGAAGCACTATAATTTAATTTAACCATTTTGATCTAGTTCATTATTAGCACTATGCCAGGAGAATTGTCAACAACGACTCTTCCAGCATCGTAATGGACAAATTCGTAGTTCAAAAGAAAAAAAAAACAAATCGATAGCTTCGTCTCCCCGCACTTTTCATTTCGATCATTTCCCACTGCAGCCCTAAAACAAAACAATTCGAAAGCGTCGTCTCCCTGCACTCTCCATTTCGATCATTCCCTTCTGCAGCCCTAGTCCCCAATCCACTTCCATGGCCAACTTCCCTCCCATCGGGGATTACGTTGCCCAAATTTTGAAATCACTAGTATTGTCGTCGAGACTATCGTTGGGGTACCCACATATGAGAATATAGCAGCTGAAGCTCATCGGCGCAGACTTCTCGAGTTAGAAACCATTACCCAGCTGTTACCTTCTTCCAGCTGTTGTCGTCGCCCAAGCTGTCTTAAATCTAAGAGTTGGCGCTGACCCTCTCCAACCCAATATACCACCCATTATTAAGCACAAGTTAGAAACCATTACCTAGTCACCACAAGACATTCAAGCGTCCCAACAAGGAAATAACACATTGTACAAGGATCGACCAATACCCTCCAACATGTTCAAGACGTACATGCTGGATATGGCAGACGATTGGATGCTACGGTCTGGAGCCTCTTTGCTCGAAGAATAAATCGAGTTATCACAAGCTCTGAGTCCCAAGTGCCTTTTGAGATCAACCCAAAGCAGTGTTCGGATCATCCGTCGGTATCCCTCCCTCAAGTTCAAGTGGTCCAGCTTAACAACCACTAAAAAATTGCTGCTAACCCCCCTGTGGGCCTCGTACCGGCGAATTTCATGCTATGGGTGAGCTCGATGATGGGGACTTTCGGAGCAGGCCTGCTAAAATTAGCTATTTAAAAAGGCTTGTTATTCTGTTGGAATATCGACATACGGCCCAAAAGCTCGACTTATACCATCTTAGTTTAAAAGAAAAAAAAATTGATAGCTTCATCTCCCCGCCCTTTCCATTTCGGTAATTCCCCACTAGAACCATAAAACAAAACAATTCGATAGCGTCGTCTCCCGCACTCTCCATTTCGATCATTCCGCACTACAGCCGTAGTCCTCAATCCACTTCTATGACCAACTTCCCTCCCCTCGGGGATTAGGTTGGCCCAAAATTATAAATCACTGGTATTTCCGTCAAGGCCATCGTTGGGTACCCACATATGATAATATAGCAGTTGAAGCTCACAGGCGCAGACGTCTCGAGGACCACATAGAGATTCTTCCAGTTGTTGTCGTCGCCCAAGCTGAAATAAGGTATCAAGTTGTCTTAAATCTAAGATTTGGTGCTGGCCCTCTACAACCCAATATACCACCCATTATTTAGCAAAAGTTAGACACCACTACCCAGTCCCCACAAAACATTCAAGCGTCCCAACAAGGAAATAACCAGATCATACAAGGATCGACCAATACCCTCCAACATGTTCAAGACGTCCAAGCTGGATTTGGCAGACGATTAGATGCTACGGTCCAGAGCCTCTTTTCTCGAAGAATAAATCGGGCTATCACAAGCTCTGAGCCCCAAGTGCCTTTTGAGATCATCCTAAAACAGTACCCGAATCATCCGTCGGTAGCCCCCTAAAGTTCAAGGGGTCCAGCTTAACAATAACTATAAAATTGTTGCTAAACCCCATGTGGGTCTCGTACCGGCGAATTTCGATGAATTTCATGCTATGGGTCAGCTCGATGATGGGGACTTTCGGAGCAGGCCTGCTAAAATTAGCTAGATAAACAACAGAATAACAAGCCCTTTTATCTAGCTAATTTTAGCAGGCTGCTCCGAAGGTCCCCATCATCGAGCTGACCCATAGCATGAAATTCATTGAATTCGCCGGGACGAGACCCACAGGGGGGTTAACAACAATTTTATAGTGGTTGTTAAGCTGGACCCCTTGAACTTGAGGGGGGGCTACCGACGGATGATCCGAGTACTGCTTTAGGATGATCTCAAAAGACACTTGCGGCTCAGAGCTTGTGATTGCCTATTTATTCTTCGAGCAAAGAGGCTCTAGACCGTAGCAACCAATCGTCTGCCAAATCCAGCTTGGACGTCTTGAACATGTTGGAGGGTATTGGCCAATCCTTGTACGGTAGTGTTCAACCCTTGTGATCTGGTTATTTTTTGTTGGGACGCTTGAATGTCATGTAGGGACTGGGTAATGGTGTCTTACTCGTGTTGAATAATGGGTGGTATAGATGGTATATTGGGTTGGAGAGGGCCACCACCAAATCTTAGATTTAAGACAGCTTGATACCTTATTTCAACTTGGGCGACGATAACAGCTAGAAGAATCTCTCTGTGGTCCTCAAGACGTCTGCGCCAGTGAGCTTCAACTGTTATATTCTCATCTGTGGGTACCCCAGCGATGGCCTCGACGGCAATACCAGTGATTTCAAAATTTGGGCCAACGTAATCCCCTAGGAGAGGGAGGTTGGAATGGAAGTGGACTGGTGACTAGGGCTGTAGTGGGGAATGATTAAAATGGAGAGTGCGGGGAGACGACGCTATCGAATTGTTTTGTTTTAGGGCCGCAGTGGGGAATGATCAAAATGGAGAGGGTGGGGAGACGAAGTTATCGATTTGTTTTCTTTTTCTTTTAAACTAAGAAGGTCCGAGTCAAACTGTTAGGTCGTATGTTGATATGCCAATAGAAAAAGAAGCCCTTTTATCTAGCTATTTTTAGCAGGCCTGCTGCGAAAGTTCCCATCAGCGGGTGACACATAGCATGAAATTCGTCGAAATTTGCCGGTACGAGACTCACAAGGGGGTTAGCAGCAATTTCATAGTGATTGTTAAGCTGGACCCTTTGAACTTGAGGGGGCTACCGACTGGTGATCTGGGTATTGCTTTGGGATGATCTCAAAAGGCACTTGGGGCTCAGAGTTTGTGATAGCCCGATTTATTTTTCGAGCAAAGAGGCTCCGGACCGTAGCATCCAATCGTCTGCCAAATCCATCTTGGACGTCTTGAACATGTTGGAGGATATTGGTCGATCCTTGTACGGTAGTGTTCAATCCTTGTATGATCTGGTTATTTCCTTGTTGGGACGCTTGAATGTCT